GATGTTTCTGTGTGGGCCCTACAGTCCGTATACACAGTTTTCCATAGTTTTCCTTGCCAGGTAAAGAAGCTGGGCATTGAGTCAGCAAAGCAGAGCTGATAAGAGCATAGGCTTATCTGGGGTCAGACTACTTTGGTTCTACCACCTTGTAGTTTGTGATTCTAGTCAAATTAATTAACCGCTTGGAGCCTCCGTTTTCCCGGATTAATTAAAAACTATATCATAGACTCACTGGATGATTTAAGTGAACTAACTCTTACAAAGCTTTTGGCAGAGTGCCAGGCTAAGAGTGACTCCTCCATAAGCTCTGAACTTTTGTAATTGGCAAGACTCCTGCAGGGCGAGAGCTCCTTGTGGGAATTTCTGACAACCAGTAAGCTTTGTGGATTTCCCTGAAGGTAAAGTTATTATTTGCCAAGTGTCATCCTATTCTCTTCCAGCTTTTCTGAGCTTCACGGACATCAGTCCAATTTAAGGATCCTTTCCAATTCCACAGTCAAAAGACAGACTGATTTAGGTCTATCTGTGGAGAGTGTAAGCCCTGACTTGGAAAGATGCTTTCTTTCGGCTTGGTTATTCTCCAGTGTTTTCTCTGGCTGTGTAGTCAGTTTGACACATGACTGTATCCACCCTAGTACTTTGGATTCAGCCCCGAGAGTGAGCTGAAGTGGGCCTGCCTGGAGCATCAGGACTAAGCCTAATGTGTATCATCCCATCTCAAGTGGATACCCGTATAGTCTCTGGGCATGGAATGGAATTATATTTCTGCTCAATCTTATTCCTAAGGTACATTCTGTATTGGAAAGGGGGGTTGGGCTTTGTCCAAATTCTATTTAGTAATGATGAAGTTCATCACATGCTTTACACACAGTAGATATTCAATAAGAGTCAGAAGGCACAAGATGTGACCAATGAGCACAAAATGGGGTTGATCCAGAAGTTTTGTGCTCTGCAGCCCTGGGTTACCATGGTAATTCATTCCGTGGACAGTAGTTGGTCATATGTTAAGTGACACTGGTCTTCTCTGATCAGAGTAGGTTGTTTCTCGTTCAGGGAAAATTAATCGTCCCTGAGTCTGTTTTCCTTGTTTGGCTCTCCACTTCCTTCCAGTCTGCAGTATGGCTACTTGGCTTGTGATGCTTGCCTTGATTCTGACACAAAGAAGAAAAACAGAAGAATCCAGCAAACAGTTAATGGACTGCTTGGCAAAGCAAAATTAGGGCTTATTCATGCGGCAGAGTAGCTGATAATTGCCTTTATTATTCTAGGCTAGACTGAGGTCATTGTCTGATGAAATTGGACAATTTGAAAAATGGGGGAAAATGAACACAATTTAAGTTTATTTAGACACAACTTCTGTATTTTCTTTTACTTTCTTATCAACGTTTGGCTTTTAGTAAGAGGGAACAGGAAAAAAGAGAGGAGATAGGGCTTCCCTGGTGGTGCAGTGGTTGGGAATCCGCCTGCCAATGCAGGGGACATGGGTTCAATACCTGGTCTGGGAAGATCCCACATGCCGCGGAGCAACTAAGCCCGTGCGCCACAACTACTGAGCCTGCGCTCTAGAGCCCGTGTGCCACGGCTGCTGAGCCCGAGTGACGCAACTACTGAGGCCCGTGTGCCTGGAGCCTGTGCTCTGCAACAGGAGAAGCCACTGCAATGAGAAGCCTGTGCACCGCAACGAAGAGTAGCCCCCGCTCGCCGCAACTAGAGAAAGCCCATGCACAGCAACGAAGACACAACACAGCCAAAAATAAATAAATAAATAAAATTAAAAAAAAAAAAAAGAGAGGAGATGAAGCAGAGTGGTAAATAAGGAGGCATGTATTAAGGAAAATAATCTTTGACACATTAAATAATTCTTTCATTCAAAATAGCAAGTGGTAGAAAAGCAAATAAACATAGATAACTTTAAATCAGTACAAATACATCCTATTTTATTCCTGGAATCTAGCAGAGTGATAGTTTTATGACACTTTCATTTAATTGTTACATGTTGCACTCCCAATTCTGGCCTCTCATACTTCATGAGTATCTACCTCTGGCATAAAAAAGGGAAGGGAAGAAGGGAGGGAGGGAGGGAGGGAGGAAGGGAAGGGAAGGGAAGGAAGGGGAAAAAGGAGGGAGGAAGGGAGGGAAGAAGGGAAGAAAACTGCATGGCTCATGGCTCTTCCTACAGTGAGTAAGACTCGGTGAACCAGAATTCAGTTAATCAGATTCTCCTCTACTTCCCACCTTAATTAATCGTTTTGGCTACAGTCATTCTTAATTCTATCATCCCTTTCCTCTCCTCCATTCCACTGATACTCAAATCTTGTCAATTCTACCTCAAATACGTTGAGTTTAAGAAAAAAACTTTGAGGGCTTCCCTGGTGGTGCAGTGGTTGAGAATCCACCTGCCAATGCAGGGGACACGGGTTTGAGCCCTGATCCCAGAAGATCCCACGTGCTGCAAAGCAACTAAGCCCGTGTGCCACAACTACTGAGCCTGCACTCTAGAGCCCGCGAGCCGCAACTACTGAGCCTGTGTGCCACAACTACTGAAGCCTGCGTAGCTAGAGCCCGTGCTCCGCAACAAGAGAAGCCACCACAATGAGAAGCCCGTGCACCTCAACGAAAAGTAGCTCCCACTCACCGCAACTAGAGAAAGCCCACACACAGCAACGAAGACCCAATGCAGCCAAAAATAAATGAACAAATTTATTTTAAAAAAGAGAAAGAAAAGAAAAAAACTTTGAGAATAGCCCCTTGAGGCCAGAGTTCATGACTGATTCATCTTTGTATCTCTCAGCACATAACGCAGCCCATCTCACCTCACCAGCCATCAATACCCGTGTTATTTATCACATAAAGATTTTAGGGAAGGTCAGTGTACATTTAGTTCCTTCTCTGCATTGGGAGAGGTATGTCCTCCGACTGGATTTTCCAGCACCTGTGTGACCCTAGGTAAGTGCCATCACTACACTGTAGTGGTGGTCACTACAGCCTTCTATGATGCTCAAGGATACTAGACCACTCCCCCCCCCAAAACTGCCGCTGGTGCTGGTGGCCAAGAAGCCCTGTTTACTGTGCTTTGAGACCTTCAGCTATCTCTTTTATCATGAGAACTCTGTCAAAAGCAAAGGCCATAACCCAAGCCACACTTTCTTAAGAGGGAGAAAAAGGAAATTATTTGCTATGGTAATTGAAAAGTCTGAAGAATGGTGATAAGGAAAGTATAACCACAGGCTTGTCTGAATTCAAGTGCTAAAACCATGTCACTGAAATCAGTCCCTCTCTGTCTCTGTATCTCTTTGTTTCTGTCTCTACCTCCATGTGTCTTTTTCCTCCCATTTTCTCCCAATGAGTACTCTCCAAGTAAAGGCCAAGATAGCCACCAGAAACTCCAGGCTGGAGCAACTATGGTAGAAAGAGAATCTCTTTCCCAAATGTTCCAGCCAAAGTCCCAGGTGTGACTCTCATTAGCCTGGGGAAGTCACCTGTTTATTCTTTAACCAATCACTGTAGCCAGAGGCATTTGGTCCGTGCCCGTTCCTGGGGCTGGGGAGAGGACCAGCCCCATAAAACCATATGAGCTGAAAATGGGGCAAGGTGATTCCTGAAGTGAAAGAGGGGTACCGGCACAGGGCACCAGAAATTGCCTCCCACGAGACCCTTTGTGACATCACCAGCTAATGAGCAGTGACCAGCGGACTCCTGACCACAGCCTCAGTTCTTTCCTCCACCCCCACCACCAACATTCTGAAGCTGAATACAGCTGTGACAATGACCCTCTCCAGCTAGTCCCAGAAAAGGAGGAAAAATTCCTTGGAAAACTATACTTTTCCCAGAAAGACTAAAGACAGGCAGGACTCTGGGCCTACGCTTGACTCATCCGGTCAGTCCCCTGAACAACTGTTTTTGAGTTCTGAGGGGATGTGTGCTTGCTGCTAATACCCCCACTCAGCACCAAGGCACTCATTCCTGCCTGACAGCTCACAGCAGAGCCTCTCTGGGACTTGCCTTTGGGCAAATGGAGCTGCCTTATCCAGGGTTAAGTCACTATCCGGCCAGGCCCACATTCAATGACGGGGTTATGAAGGTCTGGCTTTCTGGCCCCAATGCAGGATGCTCTGAAGCACCTCCCACCCCAACCCTGGCTCCAGAACTCGCTGAGGCCTTTGTCACAACTGCTTTGCTATTTAACTTCTCCCTCTGTGTCCATCTTGCTTCTCTGCCCCTGCCCTGAACCCAGGGACTGTTCCCAAGAGCACTCCCCAATAATTCTCCTGCACACAGATCTCAAAGTCTGAAACCCTTTCTGGGGAATCAGCTTAAGACAGATTATGCAGCATCTAAAAACTTATGCTACTGAAGCAGGATGGTTTTGTCAGTAAAAACTCAAACTTTGAAATCACACAATCCTAGTTTCAAATTTGCCACTTACTAGCTATGAGAGTTTAGGCAAGTTACTTAACCATTCTTGTCTTCATATCCTCATCTAAAGGATGGGGATGTTAATAACACCATCTCCCAGGATGGATGGGACTTTTAAGGGAAATGTTTGTGTGTAAAGTGTTCAGCTTAGGATCTGGCATTAGGAAGGGGCCAGTGTGTAACTATTATTATTTTATAATCCTCTAGTGTAGCTAATTAATATGACTTCAATAAAGATATGAAAAGGTACCAATGGTCAATATCTAGTGTTGGCAAAGGTTCAGTGACCAGACAGCTGCTCACACTGCTTGCGAGTCTGAAACTGAAGTCCAATTCTCTTTCCGGAGGATAATTAGATAATATATATAAAAAGCCCCTAAAATGCCAATAACCTTTGACCCAAAAGGTCCAATTAGAAGCATTTTCTCTAAGGAAATCATCATTGTGTGACCGCAAATTGATAGTCTGGGATATTTATATCAGTACTTTTAAACAAAAATCTGGGGCCCCTCCCCCCGGCGCGCCGGCCTGGCTCCCCTCCCCGGCCCCGCCCCGACAGGCGGGCTGCCCTGAGGAGGCGGGGAGGGGAAGGCTGGGCCAGCCGGCGGGCAGACGACGATGCCGAACTTCTGCGCGGCCCCCAACTGCACGCGCAAGAGCTCGCAGTCGGACCTGGCCTTTTACAGGTTCCCGCGGGATCCAGCCAGATGTCAGAAGTGGGTGGAGAATTGTAGGAGAGCAGACTTAGAAGATAGAACACCTGATCAACTAAATAAACACTATCGATTGTGTGCCAAACACTTTGAGACGTCTATGAGCTGTAGAACTAGCCCTTACAGGACAGTTCTTCGAGATGATGCAATACCAACAATATTTGATCTTACCAGCCATTTGAATAATCCACACAGTAGACCCAGAAAACGAATAAAAGAATTGAGTGAAGATGAAATCAGGCCACTGAAACAGAAAAAAATTGATGAAACTTCTGAACAGGAACGAAAACATAAGGAAATAACAGCAATGCTCAGAACCCCAGTGCACAAGAAGGGGGTGAAGAGCAGGGTGAAGACATTTTACCTTTAACCCTTGAAGAGAAGGAAAACAAAGAATACTTAAAATCTTTATTTGAAATTTTGATTCTTACAGGAAAACAGAACACACCTCTGGATGGACATGAAGCTGATGAAATCCCAGAAGGTCTCTTTACTCCTGATCACTTTCAAGCCCTGCTGGAGTGCTGGATCAATTCTGGTGAAGAGGTTCTGAGAAGGCGCTTTGAGACAACAGCAGTTAACACATTGTTCTGTTCGAAAACACAGCAGAAACCGATGCTAGAGATCTGTGAGAGCTGCATCCGGGAAGAAACCCTCAGGGAGGTGAGAGACTCTCACTTCTTTTCCATCGTCACTGACGATGCGGTGGACATAGCAGGGGAAGAGCACCTGCCTGTGTTGGTGAGGTTTGTTGTCACAACCTGAGAGAGGAATCTGTGGGCTTCCTGCCTTATGAAGCTGATGCAGAAATTCTGGCTGTGAAATTTCACACTACGATAACTGAGACGTGGGGATTCAACATGGGGTACTGTTGTGGCCAGGCTTACACTGTGTCCAGTGGATTTTCTTCCAAAATGAAAGTTGTTGCTTCTAGACTTTTAGAGAAATATCCCCAAGCTATGTACATACTCTGCTCTTCCTGTGCCTTAAATATGTGGTTGGCAAAATCAGTGCCTGTTATGGGAGTATCTGTCACGTTAGGAACAATTGAGGAAGTTTGTTCTTTTTCCCATCGATCACCACAACTGCTTTTAGAGCTTGACGATGTAATTTCTGTCCTATTTCAGAACAACGAAGAAAGGGGCAAAGAACTGAAGGAAATTTGCCATTCTCAGTGGACAGGCAGGCATGATGCTTTTGAAATCTTAGTGGACCTCCTACAAGCACTTGTTTTATGTTTAGATGGTATAAATAGTGACACAAATGTTAGATGGAATAACTGTATAGCTGGCCGAGCATTTTTACCCTGTAGTGTAGTAACAGATTCTGATTTCATCGTTACCATTGTTGTTCTTAAAAATGTTCTATCTTTTACAAGGGCCTTTGGGAAAAATCTTCAGGGGCAAACTTCTGATGTCTTCTTTGCAGCCAGTAGTGTGACTGCAGTGCTACATTCACTAAATGAAGTGATGGAAAATATCGAAGTTTATCATGAATTTTGGTTTGAGGAAGCCACAAATTTGGCAGCCAAACTTGATATTCAGATGAAACTCCCAGGGAAATTTCGCAGAGCTCAGCACAGTAACCTGGAATCTCAGCTAACCTCTGAGAGTTACTATAAAGAAACTCTAAGTGTTCCAACAGTGGAACACATTATTCAGGAACTGAAAGATATCTTCTCAGAACAACACCTCAAAGCTCTTAAATGCTTACCTCTGGTACCCTCTGTCATGGGACAGCTTAAATTCAATACATCAGAGGAGCATCATGCTGACATGTACAGAAGTGATTTACCTAATCCTGACACACTCTCTGCTGAGTTGCATTGTTGGAGAATCAGGTGGAAACGTGGAAAGATATAGAACTTCCATCCACTATTTATGAAGCCCTTCATCTGCCAGACATCAAGTTTTTTCCTAATGTTTATGCATTGCTGAAGGTCCTATGTATTCTTCCTGTGATGAAGTTTGAGAATGAACGCTATGAAAATGGGAGAAAGCGTCTCAAAGCATACCTGAGGAACACTTTGACAGACCAAAGGTCAAGTAACTTGACTTTGCTTAACATAAATTTTGATATAAAACACGATTTGGGGCTTCCCTGGTGGCGCAGTGGTTGAGAATCTGCCTGCCAATGCAGGGAACACGGGTTCAAGCCCTGGTCTGGGAAGATCCCACATGCCGCGGAGCAACTGGGCCCGTGAGCCACAACTGCTGAGCCTGCGCGTCTGGAGCCTGTGCTCCGCAACAAGAGAGGCTGCGATAGTGAGAGGCCCGCGCACTGCGATGAAGAGTGGCCCCCGCTTGCCACAACTAGAGAAAGCCCTCGCACAGAAACGAAGACCCAACACAGCCATAAATAAATAAATAAATAAATTTAAAACACGATTTGGATTTAACGGTGGGTACATATATCAAACTCTACACAAGTAAGTCAGAGCTTCCTACAGATAATTCAGAAACCATTGAAAATACCTAAGAGACTTTTAAAATAGGCTTTCTCTTATATTTGATATTTGAAAAAATCTGTAAGAAATTTGAAAATATCTTACAGAAAAGTTGTAAGGTGTACGTAGGCCACTTAATCACTGAATACCTTGACCTGTAGGCCTCCCATTGAGTACATTAGTCATTGATAATCTTCCTGTTTAAATGGCCCGTTTGAAGTCCCATGCTTTGGAGACCTAACTGTTCTTCCAGAAGATAGCATTGAAAGTACCATGCTACACTCTGTGTGATCTCTGCTAATGGTACTTTGAAATTGTATTAGTTAAGTCATTTTAGATATAACATTTGTCACTGTGGATCCAATTGTCAGGTACTTAGTTATCAGTTCTTTGAAGAAATAAACTTTGAGGAGGAGGTATGGGAGGAAGGAATACATTTTATAAAACATTACAATGAAGCTCATGACTGACCTTTGAATAGTAGGAGTTTTACGTATGCTGTTAAAAATCTGTACGGGACCGTTAAAATGATCAGACTGTTAGAGAAACATGTGAGCTCACCAAGCAAGGATTTCAGTGTAGATTTTGCCTTTATCAAATGAAGTTGAAGGAACAAGTTATAGTTAAAGTTTGAATGGAAGAGCCTGCCATTGTTGTTCCACATCTGATTGTTGCTGTTTACATTCCTTTATTGAGCCTACATCTTCATAAGCTTTTTGACAGGTATATGTTGAACACTTCTGTTTCATGGTCAAGACAGGATCAGAGATCATGGATACTGACAACTGATTTGTCTGTTTTCTTCTGTCTTTTTCCATGACTGTATCTACTGCCTCATCTTGATTTACAAGCAAAACCTAGAAAACCTACAAAAATAGTGTTTTGTGGCTTATCTAGGAATAATATAGAAAATATTGCCGTTATTTTTGGTGAAGAAAATCAATTTTGTATAGTTTATTTAAACCTAAATAAAATGTGAATTTTGTTTAAAAAAATCTGGGAATTACCTAATGTCAAGTAACAGAGAACTGTTTCAATTATAATATATCCTTATGATAAAATAAAATGCAGCTATTAAAAATACGCTGTAGAAACAAAGTTAATGATATGTAAATAAATTCATGACAATCATGACAAACAACACTCTTCAAGACCCTGAGTAGCCAAAACAATCTTGAGAAAGAAGAATGGAGCTGGAAGAATAATGCTCCCTGACTTCAGACTATACTACAAAGCTACAGTAATCAAAACAGTCTGGTACTGGCACAAAAACAGACACATGGATCAATGGAACAGGACAGAAAGCCCACAAATAAACCCCCACCCACTTATGGTCCATTAATCTATGACAAAGTAGGCAAAAATATACAATGGAGAAAATACAGTCTCTTCAATAAGTGGTGCTTGGAAAACTGGACAGTTACTTGTAAAAGAATGAAATTAGAACATTCTCTAACACCATACACAAAAATGAACTCAAAATGGATTAAAGACCTAAATGTAAGACTGGATAGTATAAGACTCTTAGAGGAAAACACAAGCAGAATACTCTTTGCCATAAATCGCAGCAGTATTTTTTTGGATCCATCTCCTAGAGTAATGGAAATAAAAACAAACAAATGGGACCTAAGTAAACTTAAAAGCTTTTGTACAGAAAAGGAAACCATAAACAAAACGAAAAGACAACCTATGGACTGGGAGAAAATATTTGCAAACAATGCAACCAACAAGTGATTAATTTCCAAAATATACAAACAGCTTATACAACTCAATATATATATTAAAAAAAAACCCAATCAAATATAGGCAGAAGACCTAAACAGACATATCTCCAAAGAAGACATACAGATGGCCAACAGGCACATGAAATAATTAGTATCACTAATTATTAGAGAAATGCTAATCAAAAGTACAATGAAGTATCACCTCACACCAGTCAGAATGGCCATCATGAAAAAGTCTAAAAATAATAAATCCTAGAGAGGGTGTGGAGAAAAAGGAACCCTCTTCATTCAATTTTGATGTCTCTGTTAAGCCTCCCATGAGCAAGGAATCCATGCACTGCCTCTGTAATTCCCTTGGCACAGGAGCATCCCTCGCTTCAGCATGGGGAGTGGCGTTGGGGCTTTAGACTGAGATAAGCAAGAAAGAAATCTGACGCTCCAGTTTAGCCACAAAAACAGCCATCCGGGAAGGAGGGGAAGACGGCGTAAGAGTAAGACACGGAGATCACCTTACTCCCCACAGATACATCAGAAATACATCTACACGTGGAACAACAACTACAGAACACCTACTGAATGCTGGCAGAAGACCTCAGACCTCCCAAAAGGCAAGAAATTCCCCACGTACCTAGGTAGGGCAAAAGAAAAAAGAATAAACAGAGACAAAAGGATACGGACGGGTCCTGCACCAGTGGGAGGGAGCTGTGAAGGAGGAAAGGTTTCCACACACTAGGAAGCCCCTTCGCGGGTGGAGACTGCGGGTGGCGGAGGGGGGAGCTTCGGAGTCGCGGAGGAGAGCGCAGCAACAGGAGTGCGGAAGGCAAAGCAGGGAGATTCCCGCACAGAGGATCGGTGCCAACCAGCCGGAGAGGCTTGTCTGCTCCCCTGCCGGGGCGGGCGGGGCTGCGAGCTGAGGCTCGGGCTTCGGTCGGAGCGCCGGGAGAGGACTGGGGTTGAGGGCAAGAACACAGCCTGCAGGGGTTAGTGCGCCACGGCTAGCCGGGAGGGAGTCCGGGAAAAGTCTGGACCTGCCGAAGAGGCAAGAGACTTTTTCTTCCCTCTTTGTTTCCTGGTGCGCGAGGAGAGGGGATTAAGAGCATTGCTTAAAGGAGCTCCAGAGACGGGTGCGAGCCGCGGCTAAAAGTGCGGACCCCAGAGACGGGCATGAGACGCTAAGGCTGCTGCTGCAGCAACCAAGAAGCCTGTGTGCGAGCACAGGTCACTCTCCACACCTCCCCTCCCGGGGAGCAGGGTCCTGGGATCCAGGGACAACTCTCCCGGGAGAATGCACGGCACGCCTCAGGTTGGTGCAACCTCACGCTGCCCTCTGCCGCCGCAGGTTCACCCTGCATTCTGTGCCCCTCCCTCACCCCGTGGCCTGAGTGAGCCAGAGTCCCCAACACAGCTGCTCCTTTAACCACGTCCTGTCTGAGTGAAGAACAGACACCCTCAGGCGACCTACACGCAGAGGCGGGGCCAAATCCAAAGCTGAGCCCCTGGGAGCTGTGAGAACAAAGAAGAGAAAGGGAAATCTCTCCCAGAAGCCTCAGAAGCATGGGATTAAAGCTCCACAATCAACTTGGTATACCCTGCATCTGTGAAATACATGAATAGACAATGAATCATCCCAAATTGAGGAGGTGGACTTTGAGAGCAAGATTTATGATTTTTTCCCCTTTTCCTCTTTTTGGGAGTGTGTATGTGTATGCTTCTGTGTGAGATTTTGTCTGTATAGCTTTGCTTCCACCATTTGTCCTAGGGTTCTATCCATCCATTTTTTATTCTTAATATTTTTTACTTTAATAACTTTATTATATTTTATCTTACTTTATTTTATTTTACTTTATCTTCCTTCTTTCTTTCTTTCCTTCCTTCCCTCATTCCTTCCTCCCTCCCTCCCTCCTTTGTTCCTTCCTTCCTTCCTTCCTTCCTTTCTTTTTTCTTTCCTTCTTCTCCTAATTCTTTCTTTCTACTTTTATTCTGAGCCATGTGGATGAAAGACTCTTCATGCTACAGCCAGGAGTCAGTGTTGTGCCTCTGAGGTGGGAGAGCCAACTTCAGGACACTGGTCCACAAGAGACCTCCCAGATCCACACAATATCAAATGGCGAATATCTCCCAGAGATCTCCATCTCAACACCAGCACCCAGCTTCACTCAACGACCAGCAAGCTACAGTAATGGACACCCTACGCCAAACAACTAGCAAGACAGGAACACAACCACACCCATTAGCAGAGAGGCTGCATAAAATCATAAGTCCAAAGACACCCAAAAACACACCACCAGACATGGACCTGCCCACCAGAAAGACAAGATCCAGCCTGATCCACCAGAACACAGGCACTAGCCCCCTCCACCAGGAAGCCTACACAACCCACTGAAACAACCTTAGCCACTGGGGACAGACACCAAAAACAACGGGAACTACAAACCTGCAGCCTGCAAAAAGGAGACCCCAAACACAGTAAGATAAGCAAAATGAGAAGACAGAAAAACACACAGCAGATAGAGGAGCAAGATAAAAACCCACCAGACCTAATAAATGAAGAGGAAATAGGCAGTCTACCTGAAAAAGAATTCAGAATAATGATAGTAAAGATGATCCAAAATCTTGGAAATAGAATAGACAAAATGCAAGAAACATTTAACAAGGACCTAGAAGAAATAAAGATGAAACAAACATTCATGAACAACACAATAAATGAAATTTAAAATACTCTAGATGGGGTCAATAGCAGAATAACTGAGGCAGAAGAACGGATAAGTGACCTGGAAGATAAAATAGTGGAAATAACGACTGCAGAGCAGAATAAAGAAAAAAGAATGAAAAGAACTGAAGACAGTCACAGAGACCTCGGGGACAACACTGAATGCACCAACATTTGAATTATAGGGGTTCCAGAAGAAGAAGAGAAAAAGAAAGGGACTGAGAAAATATCTGAAGAGATTATAGTTGATAACTTCCCTTATATGGGGAAGGAAATAGTTAATCAAGTCCAGGAAGCACAGAGAGTCCCATACAGCATAAATCCAAGGAAAAATACGCCAAGACACATATTAATCAAACTGTCAAAAATTAAATACAAAAAAAAAACATATTAAAAGCAGCAAGGGAAAAACAACAAATAACACACAAGGGAATCCCCATAAGGTTAACAGCTGATCTTTCAGCAGAAAATCGGCAAGCCAGAAGGGACTGGCAGGACATATTTAAAGTGATGAAGGAGAAAAAGCTGCAACCAAGATTACTCTACCCAGCAAGGATCTCAGTCAGATTTGACGGAGAAATTAAAACCTTTACAGACAAGCAAAAGTTGAGAGAGTTCAGCACAACCACAGCAGCTTTACAACAAATGCTAAAGGAACTTCTCTAGGAAAGAAACACAAGAGAAGGAAAAGACCTATAATAACAAACCCAAAACTATTAAGAAAATGGGAATAGGAACATACATATCGATAATTACCTTAAATGTAAATGGACTAAATGCTCCCACCAAAAGACACAGATTGGCTGAATGGATACAAAAACAAGACCCATATATATGCTGTCTACAAGAGACCCACTTCAGACCTAGAGACACATACAGTCTGAAAGTAAGGGGATGGAA